AGCATGGGTTTGGCTTCTTCAGGTGCTTGGGCTTGTTTTGATGAGTTCAATCGCATTGAGCTAGAAGTACTGTCTGTGGTGGCCCAGCAGATCCTTTGCATTCAGAGAGCCATACAGCTGAAGGTGGAAACATTTAATTTTGAAGGGACTGAACTGAAGCTCAATCCCAACTGTTTTGTAGCTATTACCATGAATCCAGGTTATGCAGGACGGTCTGAGCTGCCAGACAACCTCAAGGTAAAACAATAAAATAAACTAATTAGCTTAATAATATCTTTTGAAAACATGACCAAATGGGCATTGATAATTTTAAAACAGAATGTGGCACATAGAATATATACACTTCATAAAATTTACTTTTCTTATGCTATGTATTTATTTTTTAAGAGGGATGTCCTTGAAGGTTGTTTGTTAAAACTGTTTGTTAATTTTCTTTTTTGTGTGACTGGTCAAAGCTTGCAGTTCTAGGGAGATGTTTTACCCCTGATACAAATTGTGTAGGAACTTCAGAATTTCATCGTTAGTTATTTTAAAGAAATGATGACGTTGGATCCAATTATTTTAAGGATCTTAAAAATGTTCCAAAAGTATTGCACAAAAACAGTGCTAATGAAATTTGACTAGTTCATGTGATGAATCTGCTATTAAAACACTTCCTATTATGTTTGCTTATGCCTGTTTCTAGAAAGCAGCATTGCAGAGCTGGTCTGTATTAGAGGCATGTTGCTTCAAAGGAAGGCTTTGTAGGAATGCCACCTCAGGAGGGCAAAATTCATTTAGGAACTTTATAAACCAGGAGCATGCACACTCCTACGTTCTTTCTGGAGCTGCCCTCTCGCTATTCTTGAGATATTTGGCTCTCAGGTGGCAAATAAAGCAGTCTGTGTACACTCGAGAGTAAGAATGTGGGGACAGAAAGTTGGAGAAGAACAGCAACAGGGGAGGCTACAGTCTGGATCTTAGTTAATCATATGACATGAAAGGAGACGAAGCAACTTGCTTGTGTCTGGCTCCTAATGTCTTCTAATGTTGATAAGTCTGTAATGGTACAACTTTATACATCCATACACTTTAAGCGCTGGTCAAAGATTTCTTATTTCTGTTCTCTTATTCTCAAGTGATCTAAGCATGTCTCCTGGGATATGTATTTCAGGTTCTTTTCCGAACAGTAGCCATGATGGTTCCTAACTATGCCCTGATAGCAGAAATCTCTCTCTACTCATATGGATTTCTGAATGCTAAGCCATTATCAGTGAAGATAGTCATGACCTACAGGCTTTGTTCAGAACAGCTTTCCTCTCAGTTTCATTATGACTATGGCATGCGAGCAGTTAAAGCTGTATTAGTGGCTGCTGGTAATCTAAAGCTGAAATTCCCAAAGGAGAATGAAGATATCCTGGTAAGCTTGTGAGATAGTTAATCTAGTGAAATTCACTAAATACTACTGCTTTTTAGATATCCGTATCCAGTTCTGGCATTGCCTGTGTTCTGCCTTGTCACTGAACCAGACTTGATCAGATTTTTAATAATAATGCTTAATCTGTAAAGATAAGCTACTTAATATTTTTATAGCACTTTGTAAACGTGAAACTCAACATAAATGTTTACTATATTTATTTATTAAGATGTAAATAAAAAATAGTTACATTTTTAAACGACAAGGAAAGAAAGATGGATATAAAATAGTTGTGGAATTGATTAAGTTTCCAAAGCACTGTAGCATCATCATACAATGGATGATCCTATATACATTTAAAAGATAAAGCATGATATGTTTTTTAATTTTTTGGCAGGGCATTTCTGATTTCATTTCAAATTTCTTGTGCTGCTGAATCCTTCAAGAAATCTCTTGAGTCTTGTCACACTGCTGCATTCTTGAAGTTGCTCTGCAGGCAGTCCCTCTGACTTGCTCCTTATTTATGTCATCTCCCAGCTCTTCTATGAGTGTCATATCCAAAGTGCATGAAAACCAAGAATATAGGAAACAGTAAAGCAGGGGACATAGCTTGTTTGGCATGCTGCTAGGGTCGCCAACTCTGTTTGAATCTATTCCGGAACACAGACGTGCCCACGTGCTTGCACGTATAAGTTACAGACTGCAACGCGTAGACTTTGTGAGGAAGGCAAATGCACATTACTGTTACATTTAAAAAACCCACTGGACTACTATAAATAGGATTTAACGTTTAATATTTATTTTAATGAATACCCTATCATTTATCTGCCGGGTGACTCTCAGCAGTTTCCTGGAGATTTATATCTAATTCCTGGAGACTCCAGGGTAATCCTAGAGGGATGGCAACCCTACATGCTCCAGATTTAGGTAAAAAATCTCCTTCATTGTCACATTTATGGATGAAAGAGGAGTGGTTTCTAGATGTGCTAAAAACGGTGAGAAATTGCAGCAAGGCAGCAGTGCTGTACTGATCCTGGGAGGTGATGAAGTGTGTTTAGATTCTTCCATCAAGCCCCCAGTACAGTTTCAGAAATGTTCTTACTCTTAAGGGAAACTGTGAGCTTTCCAGCCCAGTGTGGCAATGGCAGCTGTCCAGTCTTTGATCTGTATCATATGTACAACACATGATGTAGACTATTTTAGTTATTGAACAGCATAATAATTATTCTACTGTTGCCATGTACATTGGAACACCAGTTTTCTGTAAAACTGTATTTGTTTTCTTTAGCTTCTTCGATCAATCAAAGATGTAAATGAGCCAAAATTTTTGTCACACGATATACCTCTATTCATGGGAATAACTAGTGATTTATTCCCTGGTGTTAAGCTGCCTGAAGCAGATTACAATGTAAGTATCATTGTGAAGTATATTTTCTTAGCAATATTCCTGACATTGTATCAATTTTAACTAATTCCCTAATCTGTTTATAATTGCAAGCTCAGACAGAAAGTAACATGTTGACAATAGAACTTGTCGGAATGAAAATTCACTTGGTTTCACTGTGATCTCAAGGCCTGGCTTGGGTCCCTCATATATGGAGAGCTTTAGATTTTTTTTGGAGTTCTAACCCAGTTTTGCCTGAGCAAAACATACCAGACTTTCTTTTTTTTACCTTAAGCACCCTTTTTAAATACATCTCACAGGTACACACTCCTATCTGAATTTAAGTGGCTTTTGTAAATGGCTTACTTTCCCCTACCCTGTAGTTTTTGGCATGATTTCAGCGTGTTCCATTTTATTGTAGAGGTAGAGTCAGCCAGGCAGCTCTCCCTGCCTCCATGGACTTGCTACAAGTTACTGTTCTATGAAGTACTTAGGTGATTTTTCGTGTGCCTATTTCCCAGATTTTCCTGAAAATATTTCAGTAATTAATAAATATCTAATCTTTATCCACAAATGTTCTGATGCTAGATGATACACCAGACAAGCAGATGAAAAATATGGAATGATGAATAAACCACGTTCATGTTGCTCATGAAGAAAGTAAAATTAAATTAGGTTTATAAAATATTATTGTGAACTGTGTAATATGTCATACTAGGTAAGTATGACATTATTATTTTAAACTTTATCAAATAAAAAGGATTTTTTTAATTTTAGGATTTTCTGGAATGTGCCAATGAATGCTGTATAAAGCATAATGTTCAGCCTGTTAAAGTTTTTATGGAGAAAATTATACAGACTTATGAAATGATGATTGTCAGACATGGGTAAGATTACAAAGTCCTGATTCCAAATGACCACATATTGTCTTTATGGTTTATATAATGGATAGTAGAAAATATTTATGGAAATAGAATAGGAAAATATTTTAGCATTTTAAGAAGAATCCCAAGAGCCATTCATTTTAGTAAACTGTGGATTTCTTAATTTTAAAGCAAATTTTGTGACCAAAATACCAGTGATTTTTGAATCTTAATATATTTGATCCTGTACTCCCAACATTCTGGCTTCATTGGTCGTTCTTTCTTTAATAGTGGTTGCAGGTTAGGTTGTTATTGTGGAGAAGAGCTGGTACTCCAGAAGTTTAATTCTGTTAGAATATTAGTCCAACACATGTCTACCATTTTAGTCCTGTTTTTTGTTTTGGGTTTTTTTTGGTGGGGGGAACTTTTCTGAGCAGTAAATATGTAGTTGTAATCTGTACTGCAGTACACTGGGAAGCATAACAACTGAAAAAAATTTAGAAAAGAAATTAAGCGGGGAGGTGGGGAGATGATAGGAGATTCCAAATATTCAAAAGACGGCCATAAAGAAGAAGGAGAACAACTGAGAAACTTTCTTCCTGTTCTAGCAGTAGGATAGTGAAATAGTCTGCTCCGGAAAGTTCTGTAATCTCCTTCATTGGATGTTTTCAAGAGGATGCTGGATAAGCATTGGCAGGGACAATCTAAGAATAGCATTCCTGCATTTGTACACAGGGTTGGACCAGTTGACCCTTGAGGTCTCTTCTAGGTATATGATTCTGTTACTACTACTCAGTTGTTATGTATCGCTTTACATAATTAAAGTCTTCTACAAGCATTAAGTAATAATTCCTTAAAATAGACTAATCTGGACACAAAACAGTTTGATTTTTACTTTAGGGCAGGGTCCTTATCTGCCTTTGTTTTCCAACAGAATTTCATTTTAACCTTTCCCTAAATAGCAAAGAAAAGGAGAAAATAAACTTAGAACTTATTCTGCAAATAGATTAGATTAACTAGTATGAACCCCTGGTTGGTATTTATTTGTGCATCTGTTTGCAGAATTGAGACATTAAACAATTGAGGCCAGTGTTTTTTAAGAGACTCACTTGCCTCTGACTGACTTACTCAGTTGTGCAGTCAATGTGTACAATTACATGTGCAAATAAACATTTGCATATACAAATGACCATTTAGACTAACTTGTCATTTTGTATCTATGAAATACCTGATTTGCATGCAAATTCAATCCAGGTTTTTGAACTGACTCCATAAAAAATTACCTCCTAACCACTGATTCATTGATGCAATAACATGTATTCTGTAATTTTTGTTATATAGAGCATCAGATCCAGGAAAAAAACTTAGGTCTGTGCTTATGGTAAGCACTTGAACAGTGCCATGTTGGCAACTGGCTGGATCAAGATCATGAAATCTGTTTCAGGAAAGTATAAGAGTTTAATATTTTTTTTTTTTTATTTCTGTAGTTTTATGCTTGTAGGAGAGTCTTTCTCTGGGAAGACCAAAGTTCTGCATGTGTTGGCAGATACACTCTCTCTTATGAATGAACATGGATATGGCGAAGAAGAAAAAGTAATTTTTAGAACTGTGAATCCAAAATCTATCACTATGGGTCAACTTTTTGGACAGTTTGATCTAGTGTCTCATGAGGTAATATGCTTATTTTTGAAAAATATCTTGTCATAATTGGCCTAGTCATGTTATATAATCCTGCTGTACAGTTGTTGGTCTGGCCTGCATACAGGGTTTGTCTGTCCTGAAGTTTGCTGGCATGGTTATACCAGGGAGGGGTATAATTTGTTACGTATCTCTAACATACTTAGGTTAGCAAAATTTTAGGTGTGTGACAAAAATAACATGTTTAATGGAAAAGCTGTGCTAACAAAAGCCATGTTGTAGACTCAGTTATACTAGCACAAATTCTTGCTTCACATAGCTTATTCCATTCAAAGAGCTGGTTTAAGCTATACCAGCAAGAGAATTCTTTTGCAAGCTTAAATTGAATTACCACTCGTAAAGGGATTGCTGGTACAGATGTATTGATGCCAAAAACTTTCAAGTGTTGAAAAGACCAGAGTTCAAGTAGTGCTTTAGGTGTTGTGGTAGGGCATGGTTTTTATACCAGCATACTTATAGATTCATAAATGCTATGGTTGGAAGGGACCTCAGTAGATCTTTGAGTCCAACCTCCTGGCCTGGGCAGGAAAGAGTGCTGGGGTTAGACAACCCAAGCCAGGTGCCTGTCTAGCCTCCTCTTAAAGACCCCCAAGGTAGAGGAGGGCACCACCTCCCTTGGAAGCCCATTCCAGATTCTGGCAACCCTTACCATACAGAAGTTCTTTCTGATGTCTAACCTAAATCTGCTCTCCATCAGTTTGTGACCATTGTTCCTAGTGGGTCCAAGGGGTGCCCTGGTAAACAGAGCATCCCCTATTTCTTGCTGCTCCCCCCCCCCGATGAATTTGTAGGTGGCCACAAAATCCTCTCTCCTCCTCCTGTTGTGGAGGCTGAAGAGATCCAGGGTCCTCAATGTCTCCTCATAGGGCTTTGCCCGCAGGCCCCCAACCATACAAGTGGCTCTCCTATGAACCCTCTTGAGGTTGTCCACATCTCTCTTGAAGTATGGTGCCCAAAACTGGACACAGTACTCCAACTGCAGCCTGACCAGTACTGCATAAAGGTGAAGTATCACTTTCTTAGATCTCCTTGTCATACACTTGGTAATGCATGATAAAGCGTGGTTGGCTTTACTGATCACTTCATCACATTGACGACTCATCTGCATCTTGGATTCAGCAATGACTCCAAGATCCCTTTCTGCTGTTGTACTGCTGAAAAGGTCCTCCCCCAGCCTATAAGCGTGCTGATGATTTCTTCTTCCTAGGTGCAGCACCTTGCATTTGTCCTTCTTAAACTGCATCCTGTTCTGGTCCACCCACTTTTTTTCAACCTGTTCTGATATGCCTGGATTTGTTCCCTACCCTCTGGTGTGTTAACTTTACCCCATAATTTGGTATCATCAGCGAATTTGGACAGAGTGCTTTCTACACCTTCATCCAAGTCACTGATGAAAACATTGAACAGCACCGGTCCAAGGACCAAGGCTTGTGGGACTCCATTGCCTTCATCTTTCTAGGTTGATACTGAGCCATCCACCAGCACTCTCTGGGTGTGACCCCTAAGCCAATTTGCCACCCACCTAACCATGTAGTCATCTACTTCGCAGTCGCATAGTTTATCTATGAGAATATAATGAGGTACCATATCGAAGGCCTTCTTAAAATCCAGTCTGGTCATAAAAATAAACAAGGTTAGTCGGGCAGGATCTACCTGCTATGAATCCATGCTTGCCCTTTAGGATTGCCCTTTGCCCACTGGACTCTCACAAGTGTGATCCTTAATAATTTTTTCAAGGATTTTCCCAAGGATAGAGGTGAGACTAACCAGTCTACACCAATTCTTCAGTGCCTCACTAACTAATCTCCTGAGCACACTGAAGTTAGCCTTTCTGAAGTCAAGCATTTCTTCCCTCCTGGTTATCCTTCCCACCCTACACCGGATAGTGAATTTAATCAGGTGACGGTCACTGTCCCCTTGCATCAGTAGATCATCCACCAAATCATCCCCTGTAGCCAGGGCCAAGTCTAGCAAGGCATTTCCCTTAGTGGGACCATATACCTCCTGCATTAGGTGAAGGTCCTGTATTCCGGTTAACAACCTACGTGAATGGTTGGATCTTGCTGACTGCTCCTCCCAGCAGATGTCTGGGTAGCTTAGGTCACCCATGACAACCATGTCCCTTGACCATATGGTCTCTGAGAGCTGTCTGGAGAATTCCAGGTCCAACTCCTCCTCCTGATGTGGTAGCCTATAGTAGGCCCCCACTATCAAGTCCCTTTCTCCCCGACCCCTTAAAGCTGTACAAATCGTAGCACAGATGCAATAATACTGTTATCAAGGCTATTATACTGGTATAGTTTATTTCTCTGAAGAAAATATGTAGTGAGAATCTGAGGACCTTTATACTGGTATAACTGGGTGCCTGTAGATATGTGGGGACACTGCTCTGAAGCAGTAATTACAGCATATTGGAGCAGACTCAATTAAATGAGTCTGCTGGAGCATGCTCATGAGCATGGTCCAGCCTCTGCATCTCACGTATTTAGTGTTCCCACACTTCAAAATGGTGGTGGAGGCATTTTAACTAAAGCTCGTCAAAAGAGCCTCAGTTAAAGTGCCCCCTCTACCATTTTGAAGCACAGGATGCTGAATTCACAAGATGCTGTGAGTGCTTTAATTAGAGCAACTCTTCAAGCCACTCTAAAATGCCCTCTCCCCACCCCTAGAGCATGTCTAAAGACACCCACTGTGTCTATACTATGCCACTTCAACTATATACATTTCCAAACCTCTGGAATTAAAACATTACAAAAGATGGGTAGATAAATACTAGGACTAAGGGCATCCCAAGTGTAAAACTCATTGGATTATGGCAGGAAGAGGAAACTGAATCAATGTGATTGTGTGAGGCCTTGTGGGTGAAACAAATGCAAAACAGATTGCAAGATTTTTATTTCAGGTTTCTGCACCATTCTCCAAGGTACTTGTTTGAGGGAGAAAAAGACTTGATTACATTTTTTAAATTATGCTAAAAAACACCTGATCATTTTTCATCCCTCTGCTCCAAATGGGAAACCAGCCTGCTGGACTCTGAATTCTTCCACTGTTTGGCGAAGAGGAAACTATACATTTAAAAACATTTATGTTCCTGATGGTTTTTAATGAGTTCTTCTCTTTGTTTGTTGGAGCCAAATAGAGACCTGATTCAACAAAGCATTTAGGCATGTGAGTAGTCCTACTGGTTTTAGGATTATAATTAAAAAATCTCTTTTATATTTTTTCTCAACCCAGTGGACAGATGGAATTGTTGCTAACACTTTCCGGGAATTTGCTTTAGCTGAGACACTTGAACGCAAGTGGGTTATTTTTGATGGCCCTATTGATACTCTATGGATAGAGAGTATGAACACAGTGCTGGATGACAATAAAAAGGTAAAAATAAAAAATAAACTATGTGGTAGATAATTACGCTTGGGTTGTGGCTTCCATTAGGAGTGACAGGTGTGGTTGGGGTGAAGTAGTGCAGGTCACATCAGGCTCCCTCTGAATGATGTGTGCTGCTGGGATCCCATCTGTAAATGTTAAAATGGTAGTTACAGAGTTGAGGAGGTAGATAGAGATACAGAGCCCAAGCCAAGGTTGGCTACCTAGTATAGGGTGGGAGTGGGGAAGACGCAACTATATTACATTGAATGTAAACTATTTAGCCCAGGGGGTAGGTTGAGGTGGAGGATAAGGGTGCAATGCTTATAAAGAAAAGAAGATAAAAAATGCCCCATGCAAGGTACCCATATCATTACAGAGTAGTGTGTTTTAAAGGACACACACAGATACAAGTAACAGTATGCAGGGTACAATTGCGGAGGGGGGAAAGAGTCCAGATATAAGTGTTGTCAGTCATGATCCATTGGAGGGGGTGGTCAGCCAGTCCCCTTTGAGCCACTTCTACCTGGTGGTCTGTTGGAGTTCGTATACTGGCGCTCACCTGTGATGTGCTCGACATAGATGCCCCTGGACCATCAGATGGTGTCAAACGCCATGAAGCGCCTCATCAGTTTGACACAGTAGTGGGATACTCTGTAGGCATGCAGGATGCTGTCGTTGCTGGGCTCCTATTCTCTGAACACCCTGGTGATCAGCACCTTGACCATCGTCTTGTATCCCCAGCTTCTCAGGGTGTCCGCCATCAGCTTGTACTTTGCCATATTCTGCTTGCAGGCTTTGACGAAGGCTGGCTGCTGGTTCTGAAACAGGATGGTGAGGTCAACCATCACAGTGCATCTGTTCTTCTCATTGGCCACAACAATATCTGGGCACAGCTGGCTTTTGCAGCCTGGGATGGTGTGGTTGACAGACATAGTCCCAGCTGAGTCTGGGATGGTTTTCACTAGCTGGTCCTGGACGGTGTTGTGGTGGAGCTGCCATGTTCTAACATGGGGCTTGCAGGCACATAGCACATGGGGGAAGGTTCCTGTTTCATAGCCTCACCTTCAGCACCTCTTATTGCAATTCCCATACTGAATGGCACTGTTGAGTGGCAGGCAGTTGAGTCAGGCATGACAGATGAAGCTAGTATACTTGATCTGAGCCAAGAGGCCTCCTCCTTCCCCAGTAGCCTCACCCAAACCACCGGTGTTATAAAACAGCAAACAAAACATGAGCCCCTGGGCTATAACAGAACACCAAAGTTCAGGGTGTGATCTGCTCCTTTAAAAGAGTAAAACTTCTTCCCTGGTTCTAAGTGCCTTGTAGGCAATGGTACCTTGTGAGCTCCTGGAGCCCCATTAGCTCTAAGGGCAGCATATCTAGTGGCTGCCACATCTCGGGGCCATTCTTTCCTGGAGGCTCCTTCCCCATCAGCTGCTGGCAGGGAACTGAACTCACTAGTCCCAGCCCTGGGGTTTATATGGGCCCAGGGCCCTGCCTCTTCCAGCCAGCTGACTAGGTGCAGATGCAGCCTAATTTCCTCATTAGCTGGTTGCCGTGGTAACCTGCACCTGGGCACCTGTCTGGCTCTTTGGGCTCTCTTCTCAGGCAATCTCTGCTCTTAGAGGAGCAGGCACCTTAGTGCCCTGCGACACTCCACATGCTGCTGCTGCTGCTTTACTTGTTATCCTGGGGACAAGGAACATTCCAGAGCTCCTTCTGCCTGCACCAACAGGGCCACAGGGTGGGCTCAACTGGGGATGGGCACAGTCTCAACAGTGCAACAGAAAAGTAATTTCACCCTCCCTGCCTGGTTCCCCAAGAGCAGGCTTTGGGAGGTGGAACCCCCTGCACATTTCCCCTGCCACTATCCGGTCCCTGTCCCCAGTCCTTAGGTTATCTGCAAACATGGCAGTAGCATAAAACACAGCCTGTAGTTCACTGCAAAGTATTCCTGCAAGGGTTCTTATTATACATTGGTCAAAATAACTTCCTGTTTGATCTCTGTTTTGGTGTCTTGTACCCATCTTATTCATTTTGTATCTACTGACCTTCTGAGGTGCCCAAATACTAATGCTTTTAACTTTCCCAGCATTTTGGCTTAGATCACGTACAGTTTGCTTTTCAGTCATCAAGGTCTATTGGTCATGCTGTTAACAGGCTTGATTTTTATATGCACTGATCAATGGTATTAACCCAGGCCCCAGTAAGGACTACGAGGAGTAATGGATGGAAAGGTCTCCAGGGTCTTGGATACTGAATTATTTAAACAATGCCTAGAAAAAGTTTATTGGTCCTGAAAAAATTGTCACAGTGATTCCTGTCTGAAGCATGAGACTCCAGAAGTTGAAACATGTTTTTATTAAATATTTTAATTGATATTTTTGGTGTTGAAAGATAAATACTTAAAACCTCAATAATTCTGTAAAGTTCCATAAAAGATAGTGTGCCTTTGGCACACCTGTGCAGATAAGAACTCCATTTAAGTCAACGGTTTAGGTAATAGCCATGTTGACCTAAGACATAGGCAGACAAGGTTCTTCGGGTAAATCTGATATCTTTTATTAGACCAACTCAAATAGCTGGGAAAAAAATCTTCTTTGCAAGCTTTTGGGCACAAACACCCTTCATCAGGTGGTGGAAACATTTGTGGTGCTCTTCCTAGATAGAATGAATAGTAAAGAAGCCAGAGGCTGGTATGCATGCAAAAAAGCCAGCCAGTGACGATGTAAATTGAGGAGTCAATGGGTGAGAGTCATGTTGAGGGGTAGGGGGAGGGGAATGAATATAGCTGGTAAATAGTGGAGAGGTACTTGGGGAGTCAAATGTTAGGCAGGTTGTAATGTGTCATAAATCCAGTGTCTATGTTTAGTCCATGAATTTTTTGTATCCCGATGAAGTGAAGTTCATGGGCTTGTCTGTGTATTTTGTAAATTCCCTTTTGAGGATTCAGCTGGGAGATTGGAGAGAGAATGGTTTTCTTGTGAGAAATGTGCCCCCACAGGTATTCTTGGCTCTGATAGATTTCCGGTGTGCTTTCATTCTGGTGCGCAGTTGTTTGGTCTCCTATATTATTTTCCATCAGGGCATTTGGTGCATTGGATGCATTTTACATATTACATTTCTGGAGGTGCAGGTGTAAGGTCCAGGAATGCTGATGGTTCTATTGTGGGGTGTAGTAGTGGAGGAAGACAGAGGCAAAGAAGTTATTAAATATGTTGGCTTTGTCATCTGGCGTGACAACCAGATTCCCCGTCTTGTCCTGCAAGGGCCCCACATTTCCTGGGGCCTTCTTTCTACTCCCTATGTATTTAAAAAAGGACTTCTTGTTGTCCTTAATCCG